AAAGGCTGCTGTGAAAAAGGTCTGGTACTTTATGAACATGCTTAAAATATCAATCATTTCAGATATTGTTTAGTGTTATTGTAACTTTGGGATTCAAGAGCAACTTTGGACTCTGAGGATAATCGAATGTGATTGTGTGGAGAGTTTTTATGTGATTAGAGCGATGTGTCCTGAGCAGCAGTATATTGTTTTACTGTCACCAGGTGTCACTATTCTCAGAAATATTACATTTTTCCATCTTACCTTTCATGTTTCTGGAAGCGTACTGCAACCCAGTTTTTGATTTTAGATGATGGTGCTTCTGTTATAGTAGTAGATAGTTTTTTCTCATTTGGTTCCGTTCCATTCATCTCCCAAAAAGTGCCCCCTCCAGAACTGCCACACCCAGGAGAGTCCAGTGTATATCCGTGGTAGGTTTTCCCTTGTAGGTCCACACTTTCATAGTGCCAGGCAACAAACTATCTACATCCGTTAAAGCAAAACCAAGAACCTGGATTCCACTGCTTCAGACAACTCAAGAAAAACTCTGGTCTTTAGATCCGGCTGAAGGGCCTGCCCAATTGCGTGAATAAAACATAAAATGCCCCAGGACTTCTGCACCAAAATTCTTATGCTGATCTGGCTTATTGTCTTCTGCAATGACTTGCGAATTAGTATGATACCTTTAAATAGAGAAAACAACCATCAAAAAGCAGCGTGGAAAAGTGATACACATTTGGACAAAACTATATATTGACACTCAACCAAAGATTATTCGAAATCTGTATGGTTAGTTTCTCGTTATCGGTTTTTCCAAAAGTGCACAAAAAAAAGGGCAATCAATTAAATTCATTGCCGGAAGGTTTTCCTTGTTGTGATGCATGCCGGTTTTGCTCCTCAACTAGGAGGATTTGTTAGTGGTTTATTATGCACGTCTATTATTATGCAAAGGGTGTCCGCGAGCCGGGTTTAATCAACAAACTCAATAGTGTTTACATAAGTGTGGCTGCATGATATCATTTTGAGTCTGTTTTGTAGTCTGGTTTAGGAAATAATCAGTTATGAATCTGGAAATTCACAAGTCCGTATATATAAAGAACGGGAATAAGACACTGAATCCAGTATCTTGAAATGGATGTATAATCCAAGAAGAATAATACTTGCTCTACAACCTAGGTAAATGGCACCAGTTGTTTCAAGGAGAATTTTACTTGGAGATTCAAAGTAGAGTTGAACCCAAAGAAACTTCAGCTTCAATTTTAAATAAAATAATGCTCAAACCACCCTAAAACTCCTTGTAGTAGGGTTGCTCGGGTACTCGACAGGCAATCAGTCCGCTAATGTGTCACGGGGCGGAGCCAGATAGTTGCGGGTTTAGGGATCCAAAAAACACTAGGGCTGACTTGATCCACACTAGGTTCTTTTTGGGACGGTAATTCTGGCAGTTGATAAACACACAAAAATAGGGACTCTCCGGCTTGCACGCCCACGCGCAAAATGAGACACCTTATTACGGGATACCAACTGACCTGGTCTAACAAGGGAGCGGCACCTCATTTATTTAACCGACAATTATTAGAACGATTTTGGTAGTCTATCCCTCTTATGAATTTGACCTTGTATCGATGTTGTAGAATGTGGTAAATTATACTCTATGTCCAGATGAACAGCTTTTATTACTGGAAATAATACACAGACAACAAAAATGTCATTTGGGAAAGATTGGATAGACGCTTTGCAACAACTGACATGGTATCAAAGTTATTGAGAATACCCGATCAACACATCCAAGCTGATTTATCTCTTGTTTTTCATCCAAAGTTGACGTGGTTTCAGGGCCTGGGACAACCTGGAAAAAAGCTGGATAAAAATTTTCAAAATTGCAAAAATTTTTTAAAAAGCCCCCATTGTGGAGGCAGGATGTCCAAAGTGTATTGTGTAAATGATGAGGGTTCCCACCAAAGTGTCAGCTTGTTTTTATTGTTGCGTTTTATTCCTAAAACGGATTGGTTCTGGTTAGAGTTACTTATTTAGGAAAAGTATAAAACCACCAAGACCCTACTTCATAAAAAATAAAACAGGTGGTTAATGGGCAAAAATGGATTGTGGCATTAAAAAAACCCACCAGTTTGCTTCCTTCCCTCACTTTTTTGGGCCTAATGGATTTATTTATGATATCTCTGAAAGGATACATTTAAATTCTTGTGGGAAAAGCCAAAATCTATTTTCCATTTGAATACGGAAGGGAATATTAAAAAGCAAACAACTTAAGAGACTATGAATTAATAAATTTGTATTACTGAACATGAAAAATGGCACATAAGAAAAAAAGGTTCACACCTTCTGTGTGGTTTGCATTAAATGATGCACTGTATTATATTATCATCTCTAACAAATCCACTAGTGTTTAGTCTTTTTACACTATCCTCACAAAACATGTGACATTGAGTTTAGATGTGAACAAGAGTAATCATCATCGCAAGATAGTATCATACGTGAGATATATTTAAAGTTACAATTTGTAATTAAACATTGACAGGCAAGTAATGTGATAGTAAAAAAAACAATAATCTGTTATTTGTGTGATAGTCAATCTACTTCTGGTCAATAAAAAACAGCGTTGATATTTGATCATTGGTAACCACTGTGGCACCTCCAGAGGATTTTGGTTGATAAGACTCTGATCCCATAAGGAATTTCAGGACTAATTAGGACCTAATTAGCCACCTACGAGTAACATTCATATGCTTAGGTTTACCAAGTGAAAGATAAGCGTTAATTTATAAATCTGCATAAAAAATACCCCATAACCCAGAACTAGATGTATAACTGTACTTATACCTCCTTTTTTAAAGGCTCAGCAACAAGGGAGTTGTTGCGCTTCCTATATTAACCCCAAGGAATTTAAAATATCAAGCTCCAAAAAAAGGTTTCAACTATATGCCTGGAACAAATTTAAGCCAGCCCAGAATTTTGAAAAAATGATAGTTTTCAAGCCCTGGGACTATGGAGATGATAATAATTGATAGCACAAAGGAAACTCGCAAAACCTGTGAATTA